CACAGAGACTCACAGACTCACCACACAGAGACCCACAGACTTAACGCTTGCACAGAGACCCACAGACTCATCACACAGAGACCCACAGACTCACCACACAGAGACCCATAGACTCATCACTCGCACAGAGAGAAAGATGGAGAGAGAGACCCATAGACTCACCACACAGAGACCCACAGACTCACCACACAGAGACCCACAAACTCACCACACAGAGACCCACAGACTCATCACACAGAGACCCACAAACTCACCACACAGAGACCCACAGACTCACCACACAGAGACCCACAGACTCACCACACAGAGACCCACAGACTCACCACACAGAGACCCACAGACTCACCACACAGAGACCCACAGACTCATCACACAGAGACCCACAGACACACCACACAGAGACCCACAGACTCACCACACAGAGACCCATAGACTCACCACACAGAGACCCACAGACTCATCACACAGAGACCCACAGACTCACCACACAGAGACCCACAGACTCACCGCACAGAGACCCACAGACTCACCACACAGAGACCCACAGACTCACCACACAGAGACCCATAGACTCATCACATAGAAACCCACAGACTCACCACACAGAGACCCACAGACTCACCACACAGAGACACACAGACTCACCACACAGAGACCCAGAGACTCATCACACAGAGACCCACAGACTCATCACACAGAGACCCATAGACTCACCACACAGAGACTCACAGACTCACTCACACAGAGACCCACAGACTCACTACACAGAGACCCACAGACTCACCACACAGAGACCCACAGACTCATCGCTCGCACAGAGACCCATAGACTCATCACATAGAGACCCACAGACTCACCACACAGAGACCCACAGACTCACCACGCAGAGACCCACAGACTCACCACACAGAGACCCATAGACTCACCACACAGAGACCCATAGACTCATCACACAGAGACCCACAGACTCACCACACAAAGCCCCACAGACTCACCACGCAGAGACCCACAGACTCACCACACAGAGACCCACAGACTCATCACGCAGAGACCCATAGACTCACCACACAGAGACCCACAGACTCACCACACAGAGACCCACAGACTCATCACACAGAGACCCACAGACTCACCACACAGAGACCCATAGACTCATCACTCGCACAGAGAGAAAGATGGAGAGAGAGACCCATAGACTCACCACACAGAGACCCACAGACTCACCACACAGAGACCCACAAACTCACCACACAGAGACCCATAGACTCATCACACAGAGACCCACAGACTCACCACACAGAGACCCACAGACTCACCACACAGAGACCCACAGACTCACCACACAGAGACCCACAGACTCACCACACAGAGACCCACAGACTCACCACACAGAGACCCACAGACTCATCACACAGAGACCCACAGACACACCACACAGAGACCCACAGACTCACCACACAGAGACCCATAGACTCACCACACAGAGACCCACAGACTCATCACACAGAGACCCACAGACTCACCACACAGAGACCCACAGACTCACCAGCACAGAGACCCACAGACTCACCACACAGAGACCCACAGACTCACCACACAGAGACCCATAGACTCATCACATAGATACCCACAGACTCACCACACAGAGACCCACAGACTCACCACACAGAGACACACAGACTCACCACACAGAGACCCAGAGACTCATCACACAGAGACCCACAGACTCATCACACAGAGACCCATAGACTCACCACACAGAGACTCACAGACTCACTCACACAGAGACACACAGACTCACCACACAGAGACCCACACTCACCACACAGAGACCCACAGACTCACCACATAGAGACCCACAGACTCATCACACAGAGACCCACAGACTCACCACACAGAGACCCACAGACTCACCACACAGAGACCCACAGACTCATCGCTCGCACAGAGACCCATAGACTCATCACATAGAGACCCACAGACTCACCACACAGAGACCCACAGACTCACCACAGCAGAGACCCACAGACTCACCACACAGAGACCCATAGACTCACCACACAGAGACCCATAGACTCATCACACAGAGACCCACAGACTCACCACACAGAGCCCCACAGACTCACCACAGCAGAGACCCACAGACTCACCACACAGAGACCCATAGACTCACCACACAGAGACCCACAGACTCACCACACAGAGACCCACAGACTCACCACACAGAGACCCACAGACTCACCACACAGAGACCCATAGACTCATCACATAGAGACCCACAGACTCACCACACAGAGACCCACAGACTCACCACGCAGAGACCCACAGACTCACCACACAGAGACCCATAGACTCACCACACAGAGACCCATAGACTCATCACACAGAGACCCACAGACTCACCACACATAGCCCCACAGACTCACCACGCAGAGACCCACAGACTCACCACACAGAGACCCATAGACTCACCACACAGAGACCCACAGACTCACCACACAGAGACCCACAGACTCACCACACAGAGACCCACAGACTCACCACACAGAGACCCACAGACTCACCACACAGAGACCCACAGACTCACCACACAGAAACCCACAGACTCACCACACAGAGACTCACAGACTCACCACACAGAGACTCACAGACTCATCACACAGAGACCCACAGACTCACCACACAGAGACCCACAGACTCACCACACAGAGACTCACAGACTCACCACACAGAGACTCACAGACTCACCACACAGAGACTCACAGACTCATCACACAGAGACCCACAGACTCATCACACAGAGACCCATAGACTCATCACACAGAGACCCATAGACTCACCACACAGAGACCCACAGACTCGCCACACAGAGACCCACAGACTCACCACACAGAGACCCACAGACTCACCACACAGAGGCTCACAGACTCACCACACAGAGACCCACAGACTCACCACACAGAGACCCATAGACTCATCACCACACAGAGACCCACAGACTCACCACACACAGACCCACAGACTCACCACACTCACTACACAGAGACCCACAGACTCACCACACAGAGACCCACAGACTCACCACACAGAGGCCCATAGACTCACCACACAGAGACCCACAGACTCACCACACAGAGACCCACAGACTCACCACACAGAGACCCACAGACTCACCACACAGAGACTCACAGACTCATCACACAGAGACTCACAGACTCATCACACAGAGACTCACAGACTCACCACACAGACCCACAGACTCATCACACAGAGACCCACAGACTCACCACACACAGAGACTCACAGACTCACCACACAGAGACTCACAGACTCATCATACAGAGACCCACAGACTCACCACACAGAGACTCACAGACTCACCACACAGAGACTCACAGACTCACCACACAGAGACTCACAGACTCACCACACAGAGACTCACAGACTCATCACACAGAGACCCACAGACTCATCACACAGAGACCCATAGACTCATCACACAGAGACCCATAGACTCACCACACAGAGACCCACAGACTCGCCACACAGAGACCCACAGACTCACCACACAGAGACCCACAGACTCACCACACAGAGGCTCACAGACTCACCACACAGAGACCCACAGACTCACCACACAGAGACCCATAGACTCATCACCACACAGAGACCCACAGACTCACCACACACAGACCCACAGACTCACCACACTCACTACACAGAGACCCACAGACTCACCACACAGAGACCCACAGACTCACCACACAGAGGCCCATAGACTCACCACACAGAGACCCACAGACTCACCACACAGAGACCCACAGACTCACCACACAGAGACCCACAGACTCACCACACAGAGACTCACAGACTCACCACACAGAGACTCACAGACTCATCACACAGAGACCCACAGACTCACCACACAGACCCACAGACTCATCACACAGAGACCCACAGACTCACCACACACAGAGACTCACAGACTCACCACACAGAGACTCACAGACTCATCACACAGAGACCCACAGACTCACCACACAGAGACTCACAGACTCACCACACAGAGACCCACAGACTCACCACACAGAGACCTACAGACTCACCACACTCACTCACACAGAGACTCACAGACTCACCACACAGAGACCCACAGACTCACCACACAGAGACCCATAGACTCACCACACAGACACCCACAGACTCACCACACAGAGACCCACAGACTCATCACACAGAGACCCAGAGACTCACCCCACAGACACCCACAGACTCACCACACAGAGACCCACAGACTCACCACACAGAGACCCATAGACTCACCACACAAAGACCCATAGACTCACCACACAGAGACCCACAGTCTCACCACACAGAGACCAACAGACTCATCACACTCACTACACAGAGACCCACAGACTCACCACATTCACCACACAGAGACCCACAGACTCACCACACAGAGACCCATAGACTCACCACACAGAGACCCACAGACCCACAGACTCACTACACTCACCACACTCACCACACTCACTCACACAGAGACCCACAGACTCACCACACAGAGACCCACACTCACCACACAGAGACCCACAGACTCACCACACAGAGACCCACAGACTCACCACACAGAGACCCACAGACTCACCACACAGACACCCACAGACTCATCACACAGAGACCCACAGACTCACCACACAGAGACCCACAGACTCACCACACAGAGACCCACAGACACACCACACAGAGACCCACAGACTCACCACACAGAGACCCACAGACTCACCACACTCACCACACAGACACCCACAGACTCACCACACAGACACCCACAGACTCACCACACAGAGACCCACAGACTCACCACACTCACCCCACAGAGACCCACAGACCCACACACTCACTCACACAGAGACCCACAGACTCACCACACTCACCACACTCACTCACACAGAGACCCACTAACCCCGCCCACCATGTGTGTCTCCCCCCGTTAGATTAACAGCCTCATCAAGGAGAGAGAGGCCTATGCCCCAGGCTCGGAGTACCACCGCTGCAAAGAGATGTCCGAGTACTCCAGCACCCTCTGCCGTGACCTCTACCTGTACCCTGGTCTCCCCGGCAACCGGAACCACGCCTCCGCCCCCTAGGTCTCCGTGGCGACCGTAGACATGGCGTCGGTCGCCTAGGTCTCCGTGGCGACCGGAGACATGGCGTCGGTCGCCTAGGTCTCCGTGGCGACCGTGGACATGGAGTCGGTCGCCTAGGTCTCCGTGGCGACCGTAGACATGGCGTCGGTCGCCTAGGTCTCCGTGGCGACCGTAGACATGGCGTCGGTCGCCCAGGTCTCCGTGGCGACCGTAGACATGGCGTAGGTCGCCTAGGTTGTTAACTCTAGGCCTCGTCTTAACTCTAGACCTAGGGTTAACTCTCGTGTTAACTTTAGACCTATTCTTAACTATAGTCTTAACTCTAGACCTCGAGTTAACTCTAGACATAGTGTTAACTCTAGACCTAGTGTTAACTCTAGTGTTAACTGTAGACCTAGCGTTAACTCTAGACCTAGTCTTAACTCTAGACCTAGTGTTAACTCTAGACCTAGTGTTAACTCTAGAACTCGTGTTAACTCTAGAACTCGTGTTAACTCTTGTGTTAACTCTAGTGTTAACTCGACCTAGTGTTAACTCTAGACCTCGTGTTAACTCTAGACCTAGTGTTAACTCTAGACCTCGTGTTAACTCTAGACCTAGTGTTAACTCTAGACCTCGTGTTAACTCTAGACCTAGTGTTAACTCTAGACCTAGTGTTAACTCGACCTAGTGTTAACTCTAGACCTAGTGTTAACTCTAGACCTCGTGTTAACTCTAGACCTAGTGTTAACTCTAGACCTAGTGTTAACTCTTGTGTTAACTCTAGTGTTAACTAGACCTAGTGTTAACTCTAGACCTCGAGTTAACTCTAGACCTAGTGTTAACTCTAGACCTCGTGTTAACTCTAGACCTAGTGTTAACTCTAGACCTCGTGTTAACTCTAGATCTAGTGTTAACTCTAGACCTAGTGTTAACTCTAGACCTCGTGTTAACTCTAGACCTCGTGTTAACTTTTGTGTTAACTCTAGACCTAGTGTTAACTCTAGTGTTAACTCTAGACCTCGTGTTAACTCTAGACCTAGTGTTAACTCTAGACCTAGTTGTTAACTCTAGTGTTAACTCTAGACCTCGTGTTAACTCTAGACCTAGTGTTAACTCTAGACCTAGTGTTAACTCTATACCTAGTGTTAACTCTAGACCTCGTGTTAACTCTAGACCTCGTGTTAACTCTAGACCTAGTGTTAACTCTAGACCTAGTGTTAACTCTAGACCTACTGTTAACTCTAGACCTCGTGTTAACTCTAGACCTAGTGTTAACTCTAGGCCTCGTGTTAACTCTAGATCTAGTGTTAACTCTAGACCTAGTGTTAACTCTAGACCTCGTGTTAACTCTAGACCTCGTGTTAACTCTAGACCTCGTGTTAACTCTAGACCTCGTGTTAACTCTAGTGTTAACTAGACCTAGTGTTAACTCTAGACCTAGTGTTAACTCTAGACCTCGTGTTAACTCTAGTGTTAACTAGACCTAGTGTTAACTCTAGACCTAGTGTTAACTCTAGACCTAGCGTTAACTCTAGACCTAGTGTTAACTCTAGACCTCGTCTTAACTCTAGACCTCGTGTTAACTCTAGACCTCGTGTTAACTCTAGACCTAGTGTTAACTCTAGACCTCGTGTTAACTCTAGATCTAGCGTTAACTCTAGACCTAGTGTTAACTCTAGTGTTAACTCTAGACCTAGTGTTAACTCTAGACCTAGTGTTAACTAGACCTAGTGTTAACTCTAGACCTAGTGTTAACTCTAGACCTCGTGTTAACTCTAGACCTAGTGTTAACTCTAGACCTAGTGTTAACTCTAGACCTCGTCTTAACTCTAGTGTTAACTCTAGACCTCGTCTTAACTCTAGACCTAGCGTTAACTCTAGACCTAGCGTTAACTCTAGACCTAGTGTTAACTCTAGACCTCGTCTTAACTTTAGACCTAGTGTTAACTCTAGACCTAGTGTTAACTCTAGACCTAGCGTTAACTCTAGACCTCGTGTTAACTCTAGACCTAGTGTTAACTCTAGACCTAGTGTTAACTCTAGACCTAGTGTTAACTCTAGACTTCGTCTTAACTTTAGACCTAGGGTTAACTCTCGTGTTAACTTTAAACCTATTCTTAACTGTAGTCTTAACTCTAGACCTCGTCTTAACTCTAGACCTAGTCTTAACTCTAGACCTAGTGTCAACTCTAGACCTAGCGTTAACCCTTGTTTTAACCCTAGGCCTAGTCTCAACTCTAGACTCAACTCTAGCCTCCTAGACACAAGCAGTAGACCAAGGCCTTACACCTAAACCCTGGACCTGGCCTCTAAACCAGGCCCAACCTTCGACCTCAGACTGAAATTGAGACCAAATCTAGACCAAGGCTTAGCCCCTTGACCTGAACCCCAGCCATCAACGTGCGGACCAAAATTCTCACCCTAAGTGAGCTCATTCCTAGCCCCAAACTCCCAACCCTAGCCTAGGCCTATCCCTAACCCTAAAACCTAACCCTAGACCATTCACTATATCTAACCCTAGACCTATCCCTACCCTAGACTATCTCTAGGCCTATCCCTAGACCTATTCCAAGACCCCCTCCCTGAACCTAGACTAATCTTAGACCTATTCATTGACCTATCCCTGAGCCTAGACTAACCCTAGGCCTATCCCTGAGCCTAGACTAACCCTAGGCCTATCCCTGAGCCTAGACTAACCCTAGGCCTATCCCTGAGCCTAGACTAACCCTAGGCCTATCCCTGAGCCTAGACTAACCCTAGGCCTATTCCTGAGCCTAGACTAACCCTAGGCCTATCCCTGAGCCTAGACTAACCCTAGGCCTATCCCTGAACCTAGACTAACCCTAGGCCTATCCCTGAGCCTAGACTAACCCTAGGCCTATTCCTGAGCCTAGACTAACCCTAGGCCTATCCCTGAGCCTAGACTAACCCTAGGCCTATTCCTGAGCCTAGACTAACCCTAGGCCTATCCCTGAGCCTAGACTAACCCTAGGCCTATCCCTGAGCCTAGACTAACCCTAGGCCTATCCCTGAACCTAGACTAACCCTAGGCCTATTCCTGAGCCTAGACTAACCCTAGGCCTATCCCTGAGCCTAGACTAACCCTAGACCTATCCCTGAACCTAGACTAACCCTAGACCTATCCTTGAACCTAGACTAACCCTAGGCCTATCCCTGAGCCTAGACTAACCCTAGGCCTATCCCTGAGCCTAGACTAACCCTAGGTCTATCCCTGAACCTAGACTAACCCTAGGCCTATCCCTGAACCTAGACTAACCCTAGGCCTATTCCTGAGCCTAGACTAACCCTAGGCATATTCCTAGACCTATCCCTGAACCTAGACTAACCATAAGCCTATCCCTGAACCTAGACTAACCCTAGGCCTATCCCTGAGCCTAGACTAACCCTAGGCCTATCCCTGAACCTAGACTAACCCTAGGCCTATCCCTGAACCTAGACTAACCCTAGGCCTATTCATAGACCTATCCTTGAACCTAGACTAACCCTAGGCCTATCCCTGAACCTAGACTAACCCTAGGCCTATTCCTGAGCCTAGACTAACCCTAGGCCTATCCCTGAACCTAGACTAACCCTAGGCCTATCCCGGAGCCTAGACTAACGCTAGGCCTATCCCTGAACCTAGACTAACCCTAGGCCTATTCCTGAACCTAGACTAACCCTAGGCCTATCCCTGAGCCTAGACTAACCCTAGGCCTATCCCTGAACCTAGACTAACCCTATGCCTATTCCTGAACCTAGACTAACCCTAGGCCTATCCCTGAGCCTAGACTAATCCTAGGCCTATCCCTGAACCTAGACTAACCCTAGGCCTATCCCTGAACCTAGACTAGCCCTAGGCCTATTCCTGAGCCTAGACTAACCCTAGGCCTATCCCTGAGCCTAGACTAATCCTAAGCCTATCCCTGAACCTAGACTAACCCTAGGCCTATCCCTGAGCCTAGACTAACCCTAGGCCTATCCCTGAGCCTAGACTAACCCTAGGCCTATTCCTGAGCCTAGACTAACCCTAGGCCTATCCCTGAGCCTAGACTAACCCTAGGCCTATCCCTGAGCCTAGACTAACCCTAGGCCTATCCCTGAGCCTAGACTAACCCTAGGCCTATCCCTGAACCTAGACTAACCCTAGGCCTATTCCTGAACCTAGACTAACCCTAGGCCTATTCATAGACCTATCCTTGAACCTAGACTAACCCTAGGTCTATCCCTGAACCTAGACTAACCCTAGGCCTATCTCTGAGCCTAGACTAACCCTAGGCCTATCCCTGAACCTAGACTAACCCTAGGCCTATCCCTGAGCCTAGACTAACCCTAGGCCTATCCCTGAGCCTAGACTAATCCTAGGCCTATCCCTGAGCCTAGACTAACCCTAGGCCTATCCCTGAACCTAGACTAACCCTAGGCCTATCCCTTTCCATCGACCACCCTGCGTACAAAGACAAAGATCCCCCGTGTAGCCCCTGAACGTACTGCTGGGCCAAGTGCTGTTAGGAGCGCTGTGGCCTTGGGGTGGGTGGCCAGCAACCACCACCGCCGCCACGCCCGGCCGACTGTCTCTCTCCCGCAGTGCTGGTGATGATTGCTGCTGCCAAACCACGTGTTGTACTGCTGTGCCAGGCTAGGTGCAGGAGGAGGAGGAGGTCACGGGACAGACCCGGCAGGTGGCACGTGTTGTGTACTGCTGTGCCAGGCTAGGTGCATGAGGAGGAGGTCACGGGACAGACCCGGCAGGTGGCACGGGTTGTGTACTGCTGTGCCAGGCTAGGTGCATGAGGAGGAGGTCACGGGACAGACCCGGCAGGTGGCACGTGTTGTGTACTGCTGTGCCAGGCTAGGTGCAGGAGGAGGAGGAGGTCACGGGACAGACCCGGCAGGTGCCACGTGTCGACTGACTGAGATGACTGGCTGATGCACCACCTGTGCCCCCTACTGTGCCAACCTGCTGCGCTTTAGCCACCCGGCGCTCCGCTCGTTGTTGTGAGCGTCGCTCCTCCGCCCTCCGTTGTTGTTGGGAGGGCGACTGCCTCCAACCGCCCAGTAGCATCCTTCACGAGCCTCCTCCACAGAGGCCGATCTTGACCACCGCTGGTACCGGTCATCGGCAAGTCCACTCAGCTCCACGTCCTCCCGTAACCACGTCACTCCGTCTCTTCTCTAAGCCCCGTGCCGTTTAGCCCCCTTAGCCCCCTCGATCCGGCCGAACAAGAACCGTTTGCGTATCGAACGTAGCCTCGTCCCAGCTGATGGCGATTTGCTCGTGGCTTGGCCTGTTCTTTGAATTTCTCTACCTACTGGATTCCTGCAGGGTCCCAAAAAGCTTCAGGTGAGGATTGGAAAGCTGTTAAAATTGTGTTTCTGTGCTTGCCAACTGCAAGCTCCTTTGCTGCAGTGAGCGACCTGGCCCTCATGAATGATTAAGGCAGCTCGACCAAGGGGATTATCACGTTGGAACAGGGAACCCGTGAAATATCCACGCCGTGACCACCACTGTGAGAGAGAGAGACAGAGAGAGAGACGCAGACTTCAAACGTACAGCGGTAGCAGGCATCGTCAGGGGGTCTGGATCGAACCCACGATTTCCTGCGTACGTGGCGAGGTAGTCAACATTCCTAGCCACCGTGGCAAGTCCACTCAGCTGCACATTCTCCTGTATCAGTCCATCTGACTTACCCACCCACCCGCTCACACATCCACTCACCCACCCACTCACTCACCCCATTCACCCACCCCACTCGCCCACCCACTCACTCACCCCATTCACCCACCCACTCACTCACTGACTCACTCACTCACTCACCCACCCCACTCACCCACCCACTCACCCACTCACTCACCCACTCACCCACCCACTCACTCACCCACTCACCCACCCACTCACTCACCCACCCCACTCGCCCATTCACTCACCCCATTTACCCACCGACTCACCCACCCACTCACCCACTCACTCACCCCACTCACTCACCCACTCACTCACCCACCCACTCACTCACCCACTCACTCACCCACCAACCCCACCCACTCAATCACTCACCCACCAACCCCACTCACCCACTCACCCACCCACTCACTCACCCACCCACTCACCCACCCACTCACCCACCCACTCTCTCACCCACTCACCCACGCACTCACCCACCCACTCACTCACCCACTCACCCGACTCACTCACCCACCCACTCACTCACCCACTCACTCACCCACCCACTCACTCACTCACCCACTCACCCACCCACTCACCCACTCACCCACTCACCCACCCACTCACCCACCCACCCACTCACTCACCCACTCACCCACTCACCCACTCACTCACCCACTCACTCACCCACCCCATTCACTCACCCACTCACCCACCCCACTCACTCACCCACCCACTCACCCACTCACCCACCCACTCACTCACCCACTCACTCACCCACTCACTCACTCACCCACTCTAAACCATCACCCATAGGCAGCTCACAATGGATCGCTACACACTCACGTGGTCCATTGGTTGCGTGCAACCCCCCGAAATTGCGTGCAACTCCCGGATTGCGTGCAACTCCCGGATTGCGTGCAACTCCCGGATTGCGTGCAACCCCCCGATTGCGTGCAACTCTGCGATTGCGTGCAACGTGTACGGATCTCTGTGAGCGCGTTGCGAGCAACTTTTTAATTACCTGCTGCAACCGGAGCTGCTTGTGTCAAGGCGATTTGCAAATCGTGTAGTCGGTGAGTTAACGAGTTAGCAAGCTAGTTAGTTAGTTCACGAGTTAGTAAACTAGTTAGTTCACGAGTTAGTAAACTAGTTAGTTCACGAGTTAGTGAACTAGTTAGTTAATGAGTTAGCGAACTTGTTAGTTCACGAGTTAGTAAACTAGTTAGTTCACGAGTTAGTAAACTAGTTAGTTAGCGAACTTGTTAGTTAGTTCACGTGTTAGTAAACTAGTTAGTTCACGAGTTAGTAAACTAGTTAGTTAGCGAACTTGTTAGTTAGTTCACGAGTTAGCAAACTAGTTAGTTAACGAGTTAGCGAACTAGTTAGTTAACGAGTTAGCGAACTTGTTAGTTAACGAGTTAGCAAACTAGTTAACAAGTTAGCAAACTAGTTAGTCCATGTATTAGCAAACTAGTTAGTTAACAAGTTAGCAAACTTGTTAGTTCACGAGTTAGCGAACTAGTTGGTTAACAAGTTAGCAAACTAGTTGGTTAACGAGTTAGCAAACTAGTTAATGAGTTCGCAAACTAGTTGGTTAACGAGTTAGCAAATTAGTTAATGAGTTAGCAAACTAGTTATTTAACGAGTTAGCAAACTAGTTAGTTAACGAGTTAGCGGAATAGTTAGTTCACAAGTTAGCAAACTAGTTAACGAGTTAGCAAACTAGTTGGTTAACGAGTTAGCGAACTAGTTAACGAGGTAGCGAAATTGTTAGTTAGTTCACGAGTTGGCAAACTAGTTAATGAGTTAGCAAACTAGTTGGTTAACGAGTTAGCAAATTAGTTAATGAGTTAGCAAATTAGTTATTTAACGAGTTAGCAAACTAGTTGGCTAATGAGTTAGCAAACTAGTTAGTTAACGAGTTAGCGAAATTGATAGTTCACGAGTTAGCAAACTAGTTAGTTAACGAGTTAGCGAAATTGTTAGTTAGTTCACCAGTTAGCAAACTAGTTAGTTAACGAGTTAGCAAACTAGTTGGTTAACGAGATAGCAAACTAGTTAGTTAACGAGTTAGCGAACTAGTTAACGAGGTAGCGAAATTGTTAGTTCACGAGTTGGCAAACTAGTTAGTTAACGTGTTAGCAAACTAGTTAACGTATTAGCAAACTAGTTAATGAGTTAGCGAACTAGTTGGTTAACGAGTTAGCAAACTAGTTGGTTAACGAGTTGGCAAACTAGTTGGTTAACGAGTTAGCGAACTAGTTAGTTAACGAGTTAGCGAACTAGTTAGTTAACGAGTTAGCGAACTAGTTAGTTAACGAGTTCGCGAGCCAGTCAAGGAGTTCGCGAACTAGTTAGTTAATGAAGGAGTTAGCGAACTAGTTAGTTACCGAGTTAGCGAACTAGTTAGCTAACGAGTTAGCGAACTAGTTAGTTACCGAGTTAGCGAACTAGTTAGTTAACGGGCTAGCGAACTAGTTAGTTAATGAAGGAGTTAGCGAACTAGTTAGCTAACGAGTTAGCGAACTAGTTAGTTACCGAGTTAGCGAACTAGTTAGCTAACGAGTTAGCGAACTAGTTAGTTAACGGGCTAGCGAACTAGTTAGTTACCGAGTTAGCGAACTAGTTAGTTAACGGATCAGCGAACTAGTTAGTTAACGAGTTAGCAAACTAGTTAGTTAACGAGTTAGTTAACGAGTTAGCAAACGAGTTAGTCAGCAAACTAGTTAACGAGTTAGTGAGCGAACTAGTTAGTTAACGAGTTAGTTGGTTAACGAGTTAGTGAACTAGTTAGTGAACGGGTTAGTTAACGAGTTAGTGAACTAGTTAGCGAACTAGTTAGTGAACTAGTTGGTGAACGGGTTAGTTAGCAAACGAGTTAGTTAACGAGTTAGCGAACTAGATAGTTAGTGAACGAGTTAGTCAACGAGTTGGTTAACAAGTTAGTTAACAAGTTAGTTAACGAACTAGTTAACGAGTTAGCGAACTAGTTAGCTAACGAGTTAGCGAACTAGTTAAGGAGTGAGCGAACTAGTTAAGGAGTGAGCGAACTAGTTAGTTAACGAGTTAGCGAACTAGTTAGTTAAGGTGTGAGCGAACT